TCCGTACTTTCCTCAAGAACTACCTTGACTCCACCAAGTCATTTCTACTACTGCTATTCTCTGCTACTCTCATCCTAGGCTTGCCCTAGGGAAACCTCAAGCTTAACACGACTGGTCCTCAGCTGCTGTAGGTCTCCTCATAATGCCAGTTAGCCACCACCTAAACACCATCACATGTGATGAGGATCAGATAATCCTTCAAGTAAAAGATTCGTCCCTACAACGGTTGGACTCAAACAAGAGCTGCGCAATAGGGCCAGTTCCAGCACTCTGGGATTATTCAAACCTGATCACATGTGGTGTGACGTGTTCACCTAATGGCTAACTCCCATTACTCAAAACCCCACCAAGCACGAAGCAAGCAGCATTCGGACAAGGGAAACAGACTCAGGCCAAACTATTCTCATAACAAGAAACTGCCCCTAGCATAGGATGCTAAGCTTCCACTAACAGGCATAACCTAATCAGGCTATCCTACTGCTGTCTACTCAGTACTAGCATGCAATACTCATAAAGCTGTAACACATAAGCAGGCACATAAGGCATTCTCCTAGATCCTTAGTCCTATACTAGCATGCTGTTCTACTGAAACTGAAACTGAACAATTAACTTGTATGGGTAATTTGGGAGTACTTACTTGAGCTCGGCTGACCGCATGCACACACCTCTATCTTGTTAAAAACAATTCTTTCTTTCTAAGTGCTTTCAAAATTCTTTTTGGTAAAACATTTTTATTTTACTAAAATCTTTTATTTCCCTTAGTTTGAGTTCAGACACACCCGGAAGTGTATCCGAATCCCTCAAACCAGGGCTCTGATACCAACTTGAAACGACCCAAAAATTTCGTTTTTTCAATATAATCAAAACCATAATATGAGTATCATAACATAGAAAAACATACGCGATGCATCCCAAATCATAATAAAATACTGTGCGGAAAACTGTATCATACTACATCAAATCCAAAACAACTAAAACCATCCCCAGGATAAAAGCTAAGCTGTGGTGTGTGCGATGCTATCACCCTGAGCTCTTCCATTTGCTTGCGGAAGTACCTGAAACCAAAACTGAAACTGTAAGCACGAAGCTTAGTGAGCTCTCCCAAACTACCACATACCATACAATAACATATAAACACATATTGGGCCTCGCCCACTGCATCGGGCCGAAGCCCGGAAACTGCATCGGACCGAAGTCCGGAACTGACTGGGACCCTGTCCCCTGCATCGGACCGAAGTCCGGAACTAACTGCATCGGACCAAAGTCCGGAACTAACTGGGAACTTGTCCCCTACATCGGACCGAAGTCCGGAACTAACTGCATCGGACCAGAGTCCGGAACTAACTGCATCGGACCGAAGTCCGGAACCGACTGGGACCTTGTCCCCTGCATCGGACCGAAGTCCGGAACTGACTGACTGAACATGGCATAGCATAACACATCAATTAACATGAACATATATACGACATACTTCATCGGGCCGTAGCCCGGAACACATAACACTTAACGCATAAAACATAGCACACAAATCCTGTTTGAGCCACGAAGGCATCAAACATACTAGCTACTGCGTCGGACCTAAATCCGGGAACTACTGCTAACTGAACGGGCCGGCTTTGTGGCCTTAGACCCGTTCCTACTGGAAGGAAACTCACCTCGTAAGCTGGCTGCTGAGTGTGTGGCTCGGGAAGCTAACGGCTGCTGCTCCTGAATCTCCTCGGCTACAAGTCCATAAACACACTCAATCAAAAACTAAACACTGCGCTTGGGGTAAAATGACTCTTTTACCCTTGGTCAAAGTCAACTCTCTTTTGGGCTGACTCGCCGAGTTGGGCCGCCCAACTCGTCGAGTCCTACTCTCACTTCTCAGTTCTGCACGCTGCTACTCGTCGAGTGTGGCATCGACTCGACGAGTACCCTCTTGATCCAAGAACTCAGACAATCTTCATCCGACTCGTCGAGCCGTATGAACAAACTCGACGAGTTGTTCTTGATCTTTAAGAAGATTGCCTTGGACTCGCCGAGTCAAGGCATTGAATCGCCGAGTCCTAACATGGTGAGTTCAGCTCCCAACTCACCGAGTCACCCCCTGTGGCTCACGGCTCAACTCGACACATCATGAAGGGACCAGTCCAGTGACTCGCGACCAGACTCGTCGAGTCACATATACGACTCGCCGAGTCGCAGCCATGCATCCATCAAATACGCCGATTTGCTCAATTCCAGTCCATGCCATTCACAGATCTGGGCTTCTAGGACACAAATCACACGTAAAGTTTCCAACTTTACGTGTAGATATTCACCAATATGGATTTTAAGGCTCAAAGTGCACCAAAAGAGGTAGATCTAGGGCTTTCATGCAATATGACCCCATAAAGGCATTAGATCCAAGTTCCAGGGACTAAATCATGCCTAGATCTAAAGGCTAACCACTTATTACAACCCACAAAGCACAAACAAGCTTGGGGAAGAGCCCAAGAAGGACTCCTATGAAGCTAAAAGAGATTACAAGCTTGAAAACATGGGGGAAACGAGCTATACCTCAAGGAAAACGTTGGGATGACACAAAGATGCCTGGTCTCCTTCTCCTCTTCTTGATCTACTCTTCTTTCTCCTCAAAATCTTCAAGAACACTCCAACAACACTTCAATCTCTTAAGGAAATAAGGGAAAAGCGAGGTTGGGAGTTCTGGGGGGTGAATGGGGACGAGGTTGGGCGGAATGAGGGTTTAAATAGGGTGCAAACCCTTGAAATTTAGGGTTTCAACCAACAGCGGTGACTCGCCGAGTCGCCAACTTAAACGTGTCCTGAGTCTCGTCCCTACTCGGCGAGTCGGACCTTAAGACTCGCCGAGTCCAAGGCTAAAATAGGGAAATGCTTAAAAAAAATTCACATACCAGAAACCAAGTGCTACAAATTAATTGTCAAATAATGGAACTAAATCATCGATTCAAAGCCAGGTCAGCGGCGTTGCTTGAACTTTCAACAATTTTAGATCCTAAAAGTGTTGATAACCCTTTTCGAAGTGGTGATATAACTAAGTTAGTAGAGAAGTTTTATCCTGAAGATTTCAATGAAGAAGAGAAAGTAGTTTTGAAGATACAACTTCAACATTATGAGATTGATGTCGGTCAACATGTAGATTATAAACTATTGACTTATGCCGATGGTTGATAAAGACTAGAAGAGTAGCGAACTTTCATCTTATTTATCGAGTATCTAGTCTCATACTTACTCTTCCCGTTTCTACTACTACAACATAGAGATCAATTTCAGCAATGAACCTCATTAAAACAAGGTTACGGAATAAAATGGAAGACGAGTTTTTGAACGAATGATTGGTTTTGCACTTCAAAAGGGAACTTTCTAAAAAGATTAGTTTAGAGATAATGGTTGAAGACTTTAAAAAAGCAAAAGATCATCGTGTTCCACTTTGATAAACGATGTAGCGATCTTTATATTGATTTTTTGTTTACACTTTTGATGTCATAATTTTGAACCAAATAAAACTTGTTTATATAGTATAGTTATGAAGTTTTTATTTCGGCCCCCTAGTTATAGTGCTTGTGTTCCGCCCCTGGGTTGTGGTGGTGATGGGAGACAATGTTTTTTTTTTGTTGGAAGTGGTCAGGTTGATGGTGGCAATGGGAGGTGGACGGTGGGGAATGGATGGTGCAGTTGGAGAAGATTCATACCTCTGATCAATTCAAACTCAAATTCAAATCTAATAGTGAATTCAAACCTCCAGTCAAATCAATCTTGGATTCCAACAATAAAATTGCATCATTCAAAGAAGGTGGTTACCAATGGACGATGATTCAAACTTCTAGTGACGTATTATAGAAGTCGATCAGACCACTTCAATTATTATGTAGTAAGGGATCTCGAAGAGCTATTTTACGGAATGCCTTTTCACCCAAATCAAATGCCACTATTGGTGGTCGAGTCCACTCTAAATAAGTAGAGCTAAGCTAATGAAGATGGTCATCTACATAACCTTGGTTTTGCAACCAAGGCCTAGTGATGAGCGAAATCAAATGCCACTATTTAAGCAACGTTCTTTTCACTTTGCAAACATATATACCTATGTGTCTTGCATAGTGCAGCACACACACATGATAACAAGAAGTTAGCAAATAAATACCAGCTTAGAAAGGTCTGTCTACACTTTCTTCAGCCCATAAATACTTGGATATCGTCTGTCTACACTTTCTTCAGCCCATAAATACTTGGATATCATATTTCGATCACCCCCACTAGTCTACCATCTATCATACAAAGGCTAATTATTATAAGTATTTAAGTTCCAAAAAGACATGAAAATTTACAGCTACATTGCCCTATCCCTGCTTATCACTTATGACAATAATCCATGAATCAGGTAATGGTCGGTGTAGACAAATGCGATGGGTTCAACGTTCTTGAGAAGGATATAAGGGGTTTCATAGACATTATGTATTAAATTATCTTTCATTCTACTTCCCTTTTTTGGAACAACGTTCACATAAAACATTAAACATTTCAGCATAATATATGACATTATGACCTAGTGCGTTATTAACTCGAAATATTGAATCCATAGATCCACACACTTGTTTTCTTGTAAGCACTACTTACAACATAAAATCATAAATACCAACTTATTGTACAAACTAAACCAACAAGTCTAAACGTTATACTCATCATGGTAACAGGAGATGTAGATGTTATGCACTAAAACCGATAGTTGAAAGAAACCTAATCAAGAAACATGATATCAAGTCGTTCTAAAAAAAAAGGAGCACTATATCTATATCATGCAAAGTAGTAATAACAAAACATAGAAGAAGTGGAGCTAACGTGTTGCCTTTTGTAGCCCTTTTAACAACTGATGAATATTGAAAAAAGACATCAAGACATGCCATTTTGACAGCTCATGCTTCGCAGGTGCTACCCAAACAAGACTGTCTGTATACTCAATGATCTTAGTTACCATCAGTCCACTCGTAATCTTAACGGTTTTACTCTGGGCTGAAATTGGATCATACAAACATAAACAACCATCTTTATAAAAAAATAAACTCATTGTGTGATGTGAATCCATATGGAAGTACATCACCACTAAACTGTGAAAACTCATGATGTTTGACCCATGATTTAGCCATTCCATACTCATTCATCACCCACACATCACATTTACCTTCTCTTACCCTCGACATCACACAAAGCTTTCCACCCAAAACTCCTAACACATTGAAGCAGTGTCCATGATGATGTAGTAAAGCATATTAAGCCATTCACGGATCCAATCACATTCTGGAATTTTAAACTATTTTTAGATTGGGAATACACCGGGAATTTGATGAAATTAGTCGGTTCAGGTTCAAGATCGAGAGTATTCCAGGGTGAATTCATTGTCTAACTGTAACTGACATCGGTTTATGAGTAAATTTTTTGGATTTTCACCAATAAAGATGGTTTTAAGGACAACATTAGGATGTTTTTTTGGTGATCTTCGGCATAATTCTGTAACTTTTGCTTTGGGTGTCTGCATACTCTTCAAAAAAAAAAAAAAAAAAAAACACGGGAAATATATGAGACAGGCGAGACATACACAGAGTGATATCGTAAGCGATTCAGATAGACATAGACAGTGAGTCGCGATGACATCAAGAATAGTCCGTGCGATCGCTGACGAAAAGCGGCGGCCAATAACGAGATGCCGTGAGAGTACCAGTGGCGGAGCGAGACCGGAGATTGGGGCCAATGGAGAAGCCACGTGAGGTTCTTTCGGAGATGAATCTCTTTGAGCCTTTGAGGGTTTTGAAAAGTTTTGATTTCATGAGAATCACTTTTCTGGAGACTCACTAATCAAAAATGTTTAAATCTTGAGTAAATTACTAAAATTGTCTTTATGGTTTAATCAAAATTGCATTTTTATCCCTAATATTTTTTTTTGCACTCGGATCATTCCTTTGGTTTGATTTTGTTGCGTTTTTAGTCCCTATGGTTTTGTAAAAATTGCATATTTGGTCCCTAACTTTATGTATGTAAGAAACGAAAAATGCAACAAAATCAAACCACAGGAACGAAAAACGCAACAAAATCAAACCATATGGACAATCCGAGTGCAAAAAAAAAAAAAAAAAAAAAAAAAAATTAAGGACCAAATGTGTAATTTTGACCAAACCACATGAATGATTTCAGTAATTTACTCTTAAATCTTTTATAAAAATCTTAGCTTATCTTACATCTAACCTAATATCTAACATAAAATATCTAATTTATCTAATCTAATAATCTAATAATCAATCTAATAGCTAATATCTCATCTAATATCCGATGTTTAAAAACTCACGTTATTGCTGTAAAACTTGTACTTGCCGTCAAGTTTTGATAAAATCCTGCCTATATATATATATATATATATATATATATATATATATATATATATATATATATATATATATATATATATATATATATATTCACAATGTGAATTTGACGAAATAAAAAAAAATCAAATTTGATATCATTGAAAAAAGGATAAAAAGTTATAAATTTCTGTATTTTTAGTTTTTTTTTTTTTTTGATAAAAAAATAAGTTATGGTCCCTTGGTTAATTATGGTTAATTATTGGTTCCTTGTTCTAACTATCTATTGTGTGCATGTACGATTGATTGATTCTGGACTAATAATTTTAGTTATTTTAAAAAAGTAATTAATGCATATTATATGTTAAATATATAATAAGCATTAATTAGAATTTCAATATTTAATATGCATTAATTACTTTCTTAAAATAACTAAAATGATTGGTGCATAATCAATCCTACAAACACACAATAGATAGTAAAAACATTTGAACATCTCTCTCTCTCTCTCTCTCTCTCTCTCTCTATATATATATATATATATATATATATATATATATATATATATATATATATATATATATATATATATATATATATAGCCTTAGGGTATTCTATTCAAAGTAATTATTGTGTTATTGTATATATAAATGTGGGTCAATCATTTTACTTATTTTAAATACCATCAAATTTAACTAAAATGGTATTTTAGTCAATTAATATAGATTTAATAAAGAAAATTTACATATTTTAAGGGATCATAAATTCTATTAATTTTAAAATTTTGATTTTACGAATTATAATGTTTTTAATTCGGACATTCTGACAGAATATGTTTGAGTATATTCAAAAATAAAAATATTCTAGAACCATAAAATAATAAAAATATTCTTGAATTGATTTCTTGATCATGACTTTAAAATTTTCTTGTAGAATAACAAATTCTCAAACCAACAATTGAAGAATTAAAACAAAAATTACATTATTTATTATAGTATACATGTAACAATTGCTAAGAATTACATTTATTATTAAAGAATAAAACTAAAAACTTTTAAATTGGAAAAAAAAAACATCAAAAAGTAACAAGGACAGTAATACATTATAAAAGAATAATGTTGCTAAGAGGCGCCATTCAAATTTCGTGGTCTGTTCTTCAAGCATCAGCTTCTGTGGAAACAAATCCAATGAATAAATTAGTGAGAAAATATTCATATTCCATTCCAACATAATTGGAATTCGTGATTCCATTCTGATAGAATTGGAATTCATTTACCAATAATTTTATTAATTTGGGGCATTCTAACAGAATATGTTCATGATTATCATAAAAACATTCTTTTCTAATAGAATACTATAAACGAAGAAATACCATTCAGTTGAAGCATTTGAGCGAGCGCTAGGTTTGCATCAAAATAACTTTCAATTTCCTGTAAAAATTAAACAATCAGAACAAATTCCCAATCCACCAAAAATATTACACCTTGAAAGAATTAGACGATAAACCTAAACACATTCAAAATTTCTTTGATTTTTGTCAAACAATCAACCTATACATCCATTCTATATATTGAAATCAAATCAAATTAAAAAAAAAACCCATTTGAAGATTAAACTTCATTGGTTTACAATAAATCAATCTAAAGTACACCTACAAACAAGAACATGTTTGTGTTTCCTTTCCTTCCCTGTCAAACACCCATTGGTTTCTATCAAATGAAACAAACCCAAACACCCTAATGATTTATATCTAACAGTCAAACAAAAAGAAAAGGGAAGAGAACCTGTTACTAATCAGAGCAACACCCCTCACAACCCCTCTTCTTCTTCCATCGAGCAAACCCACCGAGGACCCTGACTTCTTGTAACACCGTAAATTTCAAAACAAATTTTTCAAATTTTATAAAAACATAATTCACTTAATATTCATAAAACAACCATGTTTGAAATTCAATCCAAGTAATACAAAAATCCCAAGATCTCATAATCGTAAAATCCCGTGCGTGTGTACTGATCAAGCCGGCGCCTTCCCACGGTCGTCACTAGTACCTGAAACAAATAACACCAAACACTGTAAGCACAAAGCTTAGTGAGTTCCCCAAAATACCACATATAACACATATTAGCCACTCGAGGTTATAACTCTATGGGTCCATGCACCCAAACTCTGTGAACCCTCAGGTTCTAACTCTGTAAACATGCACAGCATAAATCACATAGAATAATGCAGCGCAACACATAACACATATATAGCATACAAACACCGTATCACATAACTCTAGTTACCTACTCAAGGTAAAGTATAGTGAGAAGACTCACCTCGCGTATCTCGGTAACTCGCAAGTCCCTGAAATCACTCGTGCTCGATCCCCCGATCTATAGTCCTCCTATAACACAATACATCTCTAAATAACACTTCACAACTAAGGTTGACTATCCCTTAACAATTCAACATAGGTCAACACTGGTCAATGGTCAACGGTCAACTTTGACCGGACTCGACGAGTGCACTATAGCGACTCGGCGAGTCTATGCGCATCTACTGATTCCCTGGGATCCGCACTCGACACGTCGAGTATTCTCCTAACTCGACGAGTTCCACCTGGCATGAGTTGCGGGGCCACCACGACTCAACTCACCGAGTCTCAAGAACAACTTGGCGAGTTCCAACTTGACTCAGTCCACCTGTCAACCCACTCTGACTCTCCCTGACTCACTGAGTCAATCCCTTAACTCGACAAGACCACTCGCTGAGTGGTTATGGACAATCTTCATGCTACTCGCCGAGTCTGTTCTTCAGACTCGGCGAGTCCATGCCATGCATCAACTCAAACTCACTTCTGAGGTCAGATCTGTTCCATACATTCATAGATCTGGCCTCCCCAAGCATGATAATCACGTAAAGTCCAAACCTTGGGGCTCAAACAATAACTATTTGCTCATAAATGATGTTTTAGCCCCATATCTCATAACTCTAGGCCAATACTCTCATGAACCCTCATAAAGCTTAAGGAATACAACTCTTCTGGACCTTTATGGATCTCATCTCAAGCCTCATCACGAATAGGGACGAAATGGACATCAAATCTAACCAACAAAAGGGTCAAGAAACCCTAAACCCCCGTGTTCATCATAAAAACCGAAAAGGAAGCCAAGATATACCTCTAAGATGATGCTCTGAGCTCCAAATCGAAGAATGCCCACTTCCCTTGCCTTCTCTTAGCTAGAATCTCCTTTGCCTTGCCAAACCAAGCTTCAAAGGTCAACAATGGCCTCTTTTCTCTCCCAAAACGCTCAAATCTCTTTAGGGTTTCTCTCTAGGGGTTGGTGGCCGCAAATGACGGCCATAAGCCCCTTTAAATAGGTCTCAAACCCTGGAAATTAGGGTTTCATTAAACAGCGTGGACTCGCCGAGTCCACTCTTGGACTAACCGAGTCCAGACGTGAACCCACGTCCAAATCGCGATCCTACTCGGCGAGTTTGAGTTCCAACTCGCCGAGTTCACTTACAATTCTCCAAAAATACAATAATAATAAATACCTGGAAATTCCGGGCTGTTACAATTCTCCCCCACTAGAACTAGACTTCGCCCTCAAAGTTTCGCTCTGCAAATAACTCCAGATGTTGCTCGCGCATCTCACGCTCCGGTTCCCAAGTCATCTCGGACCCCTTCCGATGCTGCCACTGAACCAAAACCAAAGGTACCTCCTTGTTCCTTAGAACTTTGATTTTCCGATCTCTGATTGCCACTGGTCTCTCAGCATAATTCAGGCTCGCATCCACCTGAATATCCTCTAATGGAACCACTGCCGACTCATCGGCTATACACTTCCGCAATTGCGACACATGGAAAGTGTCGTGAATCTATCCCAACTCTGCTGGAAATTCCAATCGATAGGCTACCCTACCTATCCTCGCGATCACCCGAAATGGACCAATATATCGGGGCCCCAACTTTCCCCTCTTCCTGAATCGAATCACTCCTTTCCAAGGAGAGACCTTCAGAAGCACAAAGTCACCGACCTGAAACTCAAGCTCGGACCGGTGTTTGTCCGCATAACTTTTCTGTCGACTCTGAGCGGTCAATAACCTCTGTCTGACCTGTTGGATCTACTCTGTTGTCTGAAGTACGATCTCAGTGTTGCCCATAAAACGTTATCCGACTTCTCCCCAGCAAATGGGGGTCCAACACCTCCTCCCATACAACAGCTCAAAGGGTGGCATACCAATGCTCGAATGATGGCTGTTGTTGTATGAAAACTCTGCCAAGGGCAAATACGTATCCCAACTTCCCCCGAAATCCAATACACATGCCCGGAGCATGTCCTCGAGCGTCTGAATCATCCGCTCACTCTGTCCATCTGTCTGGGGGTGATATGCGGTACTAAAATGCAGCCTGGTACCCAGCTCCTCATGAAATTTCTTCCAGAATCTGGAAGTGAAACGCACATCCTGGTCTGAGACAATCGAGATCGGCACCCCATGTCGAGATACCACTTCCCTCACGTACATCTCTGCTAACTTTTCTGCGGAAGAACTCTCGCTGATAGCAAGGAAGTGAGCGCTCTTCGTCAACCTGTCCACAATCACCCAAATTGCATCAACTCCCCTAACAGTCTTTGGCAATTTGGTGATAAAATCCATGGTGATCTGTTCCCACTTCCATTCAGGAACCTCCAACGGCTGCAACTTACCATGCGGTCTCTGGTGTTCGGCCTTAACCCTACGGCAAGTTAAGCACCTCTCAATAAACCATGCAACATCCCTCTTCATACAGGGCCACCAATACTCCCTCCTCAAATCCAAATACATCTTAGTGGCCCCAAGATGGATCGAGAATTTTGACCGATGAGCCTCTTCCATCAAAATGGTACGCGTTCCTCCCATAAACGGTACCCAAACACGCCCCTGAAATGTCATAAGCCCCCGACCATCGGTAACGAACTCCGATACCAACCCAATAACTCGCTCTCTCTTCTGGTTCTCCGACCTCACTGCCTCAGCCTGTGCTCCCCGAATGGTGTCCAACACCGGAGCCATCACGGTCAATCGCAAACATACATCACGCAACGGGGCGCTCTCCGCCCTGCGACTCAGGGTGTCGGCTACCATATTAGCCTTGCCCGGATGGTACAGGATCTCACAATCATAATCCTTAACCACATCCAACCACCTTCTCTGCCGCATATTTAAGTTGGGCTGATCCATCAAATACTTCAGGCTCTTATGGTCCGTGTATATCGTACACCGAACCCCATACAAATAGTGATGCCAAATCTTGAGGGCGAACACCACTGCCCCCAACTCTAAGTCATGGGTGGGATACCTCGTCTCATGTGGCTTCAGCTGCCTCGATGCGTATGCTATCACATGCCCTCTCTGCATCAGCACCGCTCCCATCCCCAAAATCGATGCATCACAGTATACCACAAAGTCCTCCATTCCCTCCGGGAGGGCTAACACTGGGGCCTCGCATAACCTTTGGCGAAGCGTTTCAAAGGAGGCCTGCTGCTCGGGGCTCCATGAAAAAGCGACACCCTTCCGGGTCAATCTGGTGAGTGGCACAGCGATCTTAGAGAAATCCTTGATAAATCTCCGATAATAACCGGCCAACCCTAGAAAACTCCTGATATCGGAGGGTGACTTCGGCACCTCCCATCTCATCACTGCCTCAACTTTGGCCGGGTCGACCAATATCCCTTTCTGGTTAACGAGATGTCCCAGGAACTGAACCTCTCGCAACCAGAAATCACACTTGGAGAACTTGGCATAAAGCCTCTCCGATCTCAAAACCCCGACGATCTCCCTCAAATGTTCCTCGTGCTGCTCTCTAGACCTCGAATATACCAAGATATCATCGATGAATACAATCATTGACCGATCCAGCATCGGCCTGCACACTCGGTTCATGAGATCCATGAACACTACTGGGGCATTGGTGAGCCCGAAAGGCATCACCACAAACTCGTAATGCCCATAACGCATCCTGAATGCTGTCTTCTGGATGTCCTCATCTCGCACTATCACCTAATGGTATCCAGACCTCAAATCGATCTTGGAGAACCAAGATGCTCCATGTAACTGATCGAACAAATCGTCGATCCTCGGCAACAGGTAACGGTTCTTGACCGTCAGCTTGTTCAACTCCCGATAATCAATGCACATCCGATGAGAACCATCCTTCTTCTTAACAAAAAGGATAGGCGCTCCCCACGGTGAGCATCTCGGCCGAATAAACCCCTTTCCCAAC